CCTATAAATATTAATTAAAGTGGCGGCGGCAAAACATTAAGCTTCTGCTCCTCCTTTCAACTCTTGTGTTCTACTGCTTCTCCTCCCTYTTYCTCTTYTTYCYTCYTWCCTTTCTTCTTATTTTCGATCCTGAAATCCATTAGGGTTCAAGACTGATAACAGTCCTGAACTTCTACTTCTTCAAACCAACCACTTTCAAATTTAAAAGGGGTTTTCACCTTTTCTCGTTCACCACTAATCAACTGAATTGGTGCATGGTCAGACACTGGTCAAGGTAAGATCACCTGTCTGAAATTCGGGAAGAAATCCATCCCAGTTTGAAGAAACCAAGAACCTATCCAATCTAACTAGAGGATTCTTGATTGTTTGTCCAAGTGAAGGAACCACCCACTAAAGGAAGATCAAGCAGGTCAAATTTGTTAACAAAATCGGCAAAAAGGTTCATACCTCTAGTCCTTCTACTTCTGACATTCTTTTCTTCAACTGATAATATAGCATTGAAGTCTCCTCCTATTGCTGCAGTAGCCTTACTATAAGGAAATTTTTCCCTAACTCTCACATCTGCTCTCCCCCCCCATAATACCAGTTTTCCGCCTCCCATCTCCTTCTCCCCTTCAAAGATCTCTCTGCGAACCCCCTACAAAACATCTGGACACACCCCTTCCACAGTCACACCACCAGAAACGCTTAAAACCTAAAACTCACCGCCAGAAAAACCTCCCGCTGCCGAGAGCACCATCGTCGTCGGAAAACCTAAAACTCTCCTACTTATTTTCATTCTACTGCATATTACAATTTCCTCTTAGATACCTAAAATAGACATAATTAAAACCCAAACCCTCTGTCTCTTTCCTCTTTGCCATATTTTCAACTAAGAGGTAATGCATGATCTTTTCCTCCTTTTTAAATCAATGAAAACTTATTTTATTAGATTATATACATGCTAACAACTACTTTGATTTAAGTTTTTAGCAAAAGTATGAAATTCAAGTTCCTCTAAGAAACTCAAATCCTCATAAGAATGTGCACTTTAACAAATACGTAGTTATTTTGTGATGATAAAGTATAGATATTTAAGCATACCTGATTTGTTCCATGCTTGAGGCGACGATACTGTTACAACCAAGAGTTGAGTCATATCAGACTTTACTATAGTCCTGACTGAAGCAATAAGGTGAAGGATGCATAACTATGCTAGAAAAACAAACAGCAAATAGCAATGAATCACCTTCCCAACATTGAAGTGTTTTGTGTCATGACCCAACCAGCGGAGGTATCTTGTGAGCTTAGCTGAAGTAAAAGTCTTGCCACGAGCTGGTAAGCCAACCTAAAATATAAACAACTTGTTAGAACTATCCATCTTCAGAAAACAACTCAATAATTTGGTTCATACAATATATTTCTATGCAAACTTTTATTGTGGATAGCTCAATATCAATTTTTCTTTTGTTTTTTTGACAAATGAGTAAGATTTTATTAAGCCAGCAAATAAGAGTTACATGCAACCCATGGAAAGGCACGAGATGCGACCTTTCCTTTACGACTTGTTACAGATAAGTACAAAAGAAATTACACAGAAGCCCAAAATAAAGTAGCCTGAAGAACCCCCTGTTTTGCAAGTGAATCAGCTATTGAGTTTGCTGATCTGCCTACCCACTGAACTCTGATTGTCATATTCCTTGTTATCCATTTACCCTTTTTGAGAAGATCTCTAAAACCCCAGATCACAGAGTTTGGATCCTCCAACCAACCCACTATCACCTGGGAGTCCCCTTCAATAATCAAATGCTCTATGCCTAGCTGATTTGCAAGCTGAATTACTTGTACAACAGCAAGTAATTCAGTCCTTAAAGAGTCTCCCACACCTGCAAGACCGGAGTACAAAGATATAATTCTACTATCTTTGTTTCTCAGCACTCCTCCTATGCCTGAAGGTCCTGGATTACCTCGGCTACTTCCATCAAAATTCAACTTAATAAACTCCTCCCCTGGTGGCATCCATTCAACCACATGTTTGTCCTTCCTGGAAGAAGTATTAGCCACTTCTAACCAGCTTCTCCATAGGTCATCAAAAGTGTATGCATCAAAGGGATTCAGAGTTTTCAGCCTCTGAATTGCCCTTGTCAGAATGCATTCTTTAACTTCCGAAAAGCTCCTTTCTTTTTCACAAAAAATTCTTGTGTTCCTTTCTTCCCAAACTGTTCACAACAAAGCTGCTCGTATGCACTTCCACATAATTCTTCCTCTCTTTGTGTGCCATTCAAAGATAGACGGACTAAACAGCAAGCTCAATATCAATTTTTCACTAAAATATTAAATTAAGTCGTGTCCTATTGGATTTCAGGAGTCCACTCATGAAGTACAAGATCAACATGCCGAATGCTTCTAAAATCCCAGTTTCAAATCCTTTTGAAAGGCACACTAACATCAATTTTTTCCATTCTCACCAAGTCGTCTACTCAGCAAAAGAAATAAAAAGAGAAGGAAAAGGGCATTAAGCTACTGAGGAACTATGTTTTTTAATCAAAGATTTCATTAATTATAAATACAAGTGACATACAAAAGAGGAGGGCACAAAGAGCTCCAATAAAATAATTTTTTTGGTAATAAAATAAAATTTATTAAAAGAAAAAGAATGTCACAAGGAAGGTGAGCAGAAGTCACCCAAGAGAAAAGACAAAACAAACTTGCAAATACAACAAAATAAAATTACTTCAATTCATACAATTTCCTAATAATTCCTATGAAAACAAAATCTTATTCATGTCTTAAACTCCTTTAGACTAATGCAAAATCCATAACAAAAAAGAGGCGCTTCGCAAATTCTATGAAAGCAATTTTCAAAATGCTCCAATGATCCTCCAATTCCTCTTCTTCCAAAGGCTCCACATGACAGCAAGTGGCATAATTCTCAATGAGCAACTATTGTTAATCGTACATTCAGAAAAAATGCCACAACTACTGCCAAATGCCTAGCCTCCTTTAACCCCTAAGGGATATAGCACCATATTTTTCCACTTATTAAGTCTGTCACTTAATGAAAGGATACAAAAGAGAAATGACAAGGAAAGAAAGCATCAAACTACTGAAGAGAACTGGCTAATCAGTCATAAAGGAAAAATACCAGAACTATTGCCAAATGTCTATCCTCCTTTGGCCCAAGCATCTGATCAGCTACAGCTGCGGCTGCAACAGCTCCAGCAGCTGCTGGCATGGCATTCTAACAATTTAGAAAATAACAAAATATAAGAACCATCATGGGGAACGGAGGTGACTTTAATAAGAAGATATAACAATTGAATCCAATATTATCAAAAAGAAGTACTGAAAGGAAAAAGAAATAGAACCAGCGACACCCATCAGCAGTACACCAACCTTGGATTCAGTATCCAGCTTTAATTCAGTAGCAAAGGTAGTTGCACTAGTTGATTTCACAAGCCTAGGAGATCCTACACCCCTATCGACAAAGAGTCCCCTCTGACCATCTTGCTTTTGCAATGGTGAAAATGTTCCAACTGACTTTGATTCAACCATACCAGAAGTAGAATAAATTTTGGAAGAATCTGTGACCATGACCTCTGTTTCCTATATGACAAAGCCAATTAATAATATCAACTGCATAATGCATAAGATCAACAAAATAAAAACAGTGCCAACAAAAGATACAAAAGAAGTTACAAAAGAAGTGGCAAATTATTTTGCTTTAGAAAAATAGGCAATTTGCTAAATCCAAAGATTCTCAATCTCAGAACATGGAAGTTCTTATCGTTGCCAGTCAGTATGTGATGGAGCTATAGACCACCAGAAGATGTTCAAGGAAAAACTCCAGGACTACATTGAAGGTGTCTGGGGGAAAACTGAGAAAAAGAATATGAGAAGAGTTCATCCAAAAGTTGTTGAGGTAAGGGGAGAGGTGGTAAAGGGAAAAAGTGAGATTAGCTATTGTGGGTTAACCCATGTTGGTCAGTTGGTTTGAAGAGTGGTATGCTTTCATGGTGGATTTGAATGTTTTGCTCTCCACTTTATTTTGGTGTGTTGGTGTTTTTGCTGGCTATCTGTGATGGTGCTGCTTCCTTTTTTGTCTTTCACACTAACATGATTGACTGGCTGTGTTGAACTGTGGAGCGATTTATCTGTAGCCTTGTTTTTGCACATACTGTGTAAAGACAGGGGGCAGCAGATTTTGGTTCCTTCTTCTTTCATTCCTTGTTTTGCTGTTCTTCATTTCTTCTCTATTTTTTTTTTCCTTTTGCTTCTTCCTTTTTGCTTGGGCCATAAATCCAGCATACGTGTCTTTTTTTAACATTTTTTTCCTCTGCTATGCTCTAATATCAAGTTAAAAAAAAAAAAAAAAAACTTGCTTGATCCAAATATCCAATTTAGAGAAACAAAACCTTGATCAATGAATGACAGATCCTGTTTCCCTGTGCATGCTCAACCATTTGGATAGCAAAATCATCTAGAAAGCTCCTCAAGACTACAAAACTTGGAAGTTTTCCTGATGACTTTTTATTCATTACACATTCAAAAATGTGTTATCTTATTTAAAATATATACAGTTTTATATCAGGTTTCTTCTACAATAAAATGGTATTATTGCCTACAAAAGTTTGCGGTTACAACAATGAATAAATAAATAAATAAAGTTTAAACAATCGATTTATAGATGCATCAAATTGCAGGAACTTTTGTTGCATTCAGTATCATTAAAGATCATGATTCATTAAGTGTTTCTCTTTTCCTGCTAAAGAAATCCGGTATTCTCCTGTGCCGCCAAAAGTTAGGTCTTTTTGTTGGGAAGTGGCTCTTCAAAAAATCAATACTATGGATGTACTTCAAAGAAAAAAGCTAGATTGGTGCCTTTCCCCACATGTCTGTTACCTTTGCTTAAGAAATTGTGACACGGCAACTCATCTTTTGATTTCTTGTCCTTTTTCTTATTATTTGTGGAATTGGTTCTCTTCTTTGTTTGGTTACAAATGGAACCCCCCCTCGGGTGTGTTGAATCTTTTTGACTCTAGCTTCTTCCAACAACCAATGTGGAGAATAACAAGAGCTGCCATCCTATGGTCAATTTGAGAAGAGAGAAACAATAGGATCTTCATAGGGCAAGAAAAATCCAAGGAAGCACTTGTGGAGGTTGTCACCATCAAGGTTATGTACTGGCTGAAAGTACATCATCTCTTCAAGGATTTCTCCTCAGCGAACTTAATTAGAAATTGGGGTGTTATAGCTATACCTCACCTTCCTCCCCTTTGGTACGAGATTGTTGGGTACCACTGCCTCAGTTCAAGGTGAAGCTAAACTTTGATGGAAGCTCCTTGGGTAATCCAGGTCAGTTGGGAGTTGGGGGTGTGTACAGAAACAAGGAAGAAAAAGTTTTGGCCCTTTACTCGGGCCCAATTGGGGTGGGAGATTCATTAAGGGCAGAAGTAATGGCCTTACTTCAAGGTTTGAAACTGATGAAACAATGGGGCATGCAGCAATTAGAAGTGGAAGGAGACTCCAAGCTGGTAATAGGGTGGATGCTAACTGGAAACCTGGGAGTGTGGTCTCTTAGAGAGCCTCTAAGAGAGACTATTAGCTTAGCAAGGGAGATTGGGGTGCACTTTAATTGGGTAAGAAGGTCAGCAAATGGAATGGCTGACACTTTAGCTAAGCAAGGAGTTACTAGGGAGGCTTTGTTTTAGGCCTGTTTGTAAGTTTTTGATTTTCTTTTTCCATCCATTTTGTGGGTGGTAAGCCTTTAATCTTTTCAATTATCTAATGAAAGTTACTGTTTCCTATCAAAAAAAAAAGTATACCAAGAATATCTAATAAAATCAGTTGATAGAACATGTTATATATTCCATTAATATAGCTTACAAATTTCCAGGAAAAGCTACAAAGGTAAACCTTTTTACTTTGAGATTGATCAACCAAGGCACTACCAGCCTTATTGGAATACGAAGCACTACTTGAGCCATAACTATTGGACCAGGTTCCACCACAAGTTAATGATCTCGGATTCTCCGTCATATTAGCAGCATAAACCAGGGCTGAGTTTGCAGAAGTCACGGGAGCCGGAATGACATAATGTTCTAAATCAAGCTCCAAAGTTACTGGAGAGCCATTCTAAAAGAAAAGAAAAATGGAAGTTAGTGGTGTAAGCTAATTACGAGTAATTAGAAACAGTGAAGCCTTAGCATGGGTCCATCATCTAAGGTGTATTTGATTGATACATCAACTAAAGTGGACATCAATCATAATCAATATGGGATTGTTAACAAAATGAAGAAGTAAGTTCATTTATAGAAATCCTTAAACAACTTATTTCTATTTTTAGTAGCAATTCCTGTAACGTAAAATTTTATATTATGAAAGTATGATTCCAAATGTCAAAATAAAACTTTCAGATGGGTTCATTGGACACAGTTTCAAATGCCCCTAATTGTCTTTCACCTCTTGTAGTTTGATAATTAATATAGGCTTTCTTGCATGGAGTATGCAGATCCCATCCCAATGTAACAACTTCAAACGCTTAACTGTGAGCAAAGAGAACCTATTTCATACCTCAACACCAGTATCCGGTGCTGCATTGATGCTAACATCAGGAATTCCACGAACAGTTGAAGGCTGAAGGTTCTCCTTATAAGCTCTCCAACTAGCCGCGAGATCAAATGGTGAGACCCTATCAGCTTTGATGAACACACGATACTCAAGCACCTCATCACCATTAAGCCTAAATAAAGCCAGCCTAGCATCACCTTGCAAGGTTCCCCTTGTGAGGAGCCTGTTCGGACCCTCCTCAACAATACAAGGGACATTACTGTGCTTTGGCTTCAAAAGGAACTTGAAATCCAAAGTTTCTATAATGGTACCAGAGAGTCAAACAGAACATTAAGCCCAAACCAAACTCCTGAACATAAAATTTTTCGTTTAAGAAAAAAACTTRCAGCAGAAATATAAACATCATTACCGTGATTAGGGGGGACAACAAAGCTCAATTCCCACATCGACTTGGACTCTCGTTCCATCGAAAGCTGAACATATCCACAATAAAGGGGGAAAACAAAAAGAAAATCAATGAATTTGAAATAAAGATAGAAAGGAGTATATTAAGAAAAAATAGATGCTTGAGTTCAATTGAACCGAATCGAATTAGGTAATGGGAATTGATTACAGCTTTAGAGCAATCCCAAGAGCCGACAAGGGGGACGGAGCCATAAATGTGAGGGATGAGTTCGCCTTTGAGTTTGAAATTCTCCATTTTCAGACTGATGTAGAGTTGACCACCATCATGGTCCAGGCAATCATCTCGGTCGCCGCCGTGAGAGCTGTCAGGGTTCTTGGAAGCACCTGTTCCCATAGTTTACCTTGTGTCTGCAAATTAGTTTCACGTTTCAGGATCAAATTAATATGGGGGTCGTTGCTTGTGTTCTGTCCCCCTTGTCCTAGGTTTTCTTAATGCTTTATCTGTAAAAGTATATACAATGGTATCTTCTTTTTTCTGTGGATGAAGAAATAGGAATTAGATTGAAAGAATGAGATTTAGAACTCAGAGAGAGAGAGAGAGAGAGAGAGAGAGAGAAGGCTGGAGAAAGGTAAATAAGAGGGACCTCGCACGGGTGCCGGGGTAGGGAGAGTAGGGGGGAAACCCGGGGAAGGTTAAACTTAAAACACTTTGTCGCCATACTAGGCATTATCTTTAATTAGCGAGCAAAAAAAAGATAATGGGATTGACGTTTGAAGCAAAAAGACGCTGATTCAGCGAATCTCTTGCGAAGTTGCAATAGTGCGTGGACACTGCACACTGGATAGTGGATACGTACCTCAATGACCTCATGAGGCCTTCCACTATCGTTCCAAGCCCATACGTGCTTTTTGGACTTCGTTCATATGGGCTGCGACTAAGACAAAGGAAAAAAAAATTAACAACTTATATAACGTAAATAGAGTATTGTTCTGAACGTAAGTAGAGAATCGTGGTTTTATTTAACCAATTATTTTGGTCTAAATGGCCGATGGGCTGCCCATGTCACAGTCCACGAAGATTCACCAATCAAGGTGCGTTTGGAAGATTTAGAAAGTTGAATCAGTGAAACAGTTGTATCACCTAACCTATGGGATTTTTGAGATTATATATTATATATTGCTTAATCTGTGGTTATTATATATTATAATTGAAATTAGAAAAATAAAATGGTGAATGATTTCATCACTCAAATGATGATGCTAGCAAATTCACTAATCAGTGTAATCGGTGTGGAGTTTTAAATTAAGAACAAAAAAAAAACTGAAGAAAATAAAGGCAAGGTTGATGCATGCAAACTCAATAAACATATATTTTAATATAAAGACGAAAACAAGATATTGGAAGCAAGACAGGATCTGCTCCTCACACAGTTGGGCGCCCCACAAAGATCTCACAGGTATATTCCATCGTGCATTGATATTATTTCTCGTATTTATATGTTTTTGAAAATGTTTCCAATACATAATAAGATATGCCTGTGAGTTCAGTGTGAGGCGCCCTGTCTAAGGAACACATCCCATTTCACTGAAAGCCGGACATACACTGTCGCCGTCCAACCTGGCGCTAAGTTGGCCGCGGCGTCATAAGCAAATGCCTTTTGTTCATGACGGTTAGTATTTTAGAGACTTTGTTGAATTGGATGGTAGTGGATTCTAATGTGTTGTGGGGATGAGGGACCTTCAATCTTCATACCTTAAGATAGAAGAAGAATCTGATGCTTTTTGTATGGTAGTGGATTCTAGTGTCGATCGGGATGTTTTGAGAACCTGTAACAGGAGGGGACATGTCAGAGAGAGGGGACCAGATTCCACCCCCAAGAAATAAGGCCGCCTCGAATTCGATCCATAGTTTTTATGTTTTATTGCAATTTTGCAACAGTGCCAGAAATATGCAGATGTTGTCACTTGTCATTACTTTTATTATTGATGTTAATTAAAACTATTATATTATTATTAATGTTTGATTTTGAGCATCTTTCCATCTCTTTTATTCATGGTATGAATAATGAGAGTGTTTGGTTTCATGGGTATTGATATGGGGCATTGTCGTTTACCACATAATAGATCATTTAATTATGTGATATATTTTTATGGGGTATTAATCTGAGGTAGAAAGTAAAAAACTTTTTGGGGTTGAGTTACCCTTGTCTTATATAGTTCTTCCTGTTTATTATAAAAAAAAAAAAGAAAGTAAAATAACATTTAAGATAAGAAAAGAAAGTAAAAAACTTTTTGGGGTTGAGTTACCCTTGTCTTATATAGTTCTTCCTGTTTATTATAAAAAAAAAAAAAAAGATAAAAAAAGAAAGTAAAAAAACATTTAAGATAAGAAAAGAAAGTAAAAAACGTTTTGGGGCTGAGTTACCCTTATCTTGTATAGCTCCTCCTGTTTCTTACCAAAAAAAGATAAGAAAGTAAAAAAACATTTAAAATAATGCCTAACCAAACAAAAAAAAAAAGCAAGAAACATTTAAAGTAAGATTGAACAAATAAACGTTTATAGCAATAAATGGCCTATCTATAACGTTTTGTTAAAATTGAAGGGATGAGAGATCCATCCTATGGACGCCCAAAAGATTGCGGAATAAGGGGCGAATTTCAAAAATTTTTCTCTCCCTTCAACTGGGAATCGTATTCCCCATTTAGAAAATCATATTTTCAATGATCAATTCAGAACCATAAACTGAACCAGATCTGAACCAAAAAGGAGTGGGAAGGATTATACCTGATACGGAGAAGTAATAT